AAACAAAATAAATATATTGAAAAATATAAAAACAATAAAAAATTATACTTCAGATGTTAATTTAGTATCAAAAACGTAAAATATTTGAGTAGCCCAAGACATAGACAAAGATTGAAGCGCCACAGCCCTGGCGAAAATTTAAATTTGCCGACTGGAATTCTTTCGGATGATTGACGTTTCGGATGATTGACTTTCGGAAAATCGACGTTCTACTGTAATATAATGCTTTAGAATAAAATAGATTCAATTGGCTATTTATTTTGTAAAACTTATTTTTTTCGTTAGATTATTATCGTGTTTTTCAAGAAAAGTTTACGATTTATTCATATTTTCTATTACATCGTCAATTTACCGAATTTTTCGGTAATTTAAAAATATTTTCATACTTTCGATAGTTTAATAAAAATGTACTTACAACGATATCAATTGTCCGTTACTGTATTCAATGCGTTCATCTTTGATTTTGCAATATCCGACATTAAAGTCTATTGCTGTCCCGAATACTGAAAAATAAAATTAAAAACGTAATTAAACATTCCAACAATTACACACATTAATTTTTCAAAATAACGGTTTAATTTATCACTTATTTTATTTTCAATTTATCAGATAAAATTACGTTTAAATGCATTTTTTTTCCTCTCTTGGCTGTCTAAAGGATCAAGTTTGAAATATTGTAATATAAAATTTAACTAACAGAGGGACAAGTATTTTAAGTAAAGAAAGTCGATCTTCTAATATGATACCTCCCTGCAGTGGGAGGAATTTCAATTGGAACGTTTTTCCTTTATTCACATCTGAAACATTCTTTACGCGTTATTAACAAAATCTGCCATTTATGGGCACTCCATGCATTCCTTATAAAAATAGCATATAAACAGTCTCCTTTTTTATATTATACAACTAACTCTTGTTAATCCGAACTATTTATCANTCACGACAGGAAAATTATTTATAGTACATCACAAAGTCCCTCAATAGAGGTTGCCCACAAAAGTCCAATTCAGGACCTTTGTTTTGGAACATAGTATATGATAACTTTTTGAAAGTAGAAAAAGGGGATAACGTTCAAGAATTTGCATACGCAGATGATACGTTACTTGTCTTTGGAGCAAACTCAAGACGACAAATAGAAGAGAAAGCTAACCATGTGCTTGGACTAGTATCTGACAAGGGGAAAGAGCTAAAACTCTATTTTTACCCCAGGGAAACTAAAGCTATAGTGTTTACTAAGGGAGCAACACATGACTTATATAAGCGGGTACCAACAATCAAAATGAATGGTGAAGGAATCAAGGTTGAAAAAGAAATCACCTACTTAGGTGTTGTCCTAGATCATCGCCTGACTTGGCTCCCTCACGCTACGGCAGTAAGAATGGCATGTACCAACATATTTAATGCACTGGCCAGAGTAGCACGCAGTAACTGGGGCCTCAACACAGAGGCTCTACATATTATATACAAAGGGGTATTTATCCCGAAGGTCACTTATGCTGCGAGTGCTTGGTTCACAGCAGCGGAGAAAAACACAATTAAACGAAAACTTCTAAGTGCACAATGTATAGCACTCTTAAGAGTAACAAAAGGATATCGCACGATTTCTACAGATGCGCTACTGGTCATAGCGGGAGAGCCGCCCGTTGATTTAATAATAAAAGAGAATGCAATGAAATACATGAGTAGAAAAGGGCTCTCCATTACTTTAGGGGAAGGCTTTATAATAGTACAGATTTTGAACTAAAACCAAGAGCAAAGGAAATGCCGAAGCCATACGAAAGAAAGGCAATAGAAATTGCTGATGATAATGAGAGAGCAAACACAGATATATTCACAGACGGATCGAAGATTGATGACAGAGTGGGTGCATCCTACGTAGTGATAAATAATGGAAAAGAAATCCACAAGGACTAATACAGACTGGCAGACCATTGCTCGGTCTATCAAGCGGAGTTATATGCCATTGTAATGGCTGTAAGGTGGAGCATCTCCGCTCAAGTAACAGGCTTAGTTATTGTTCACACGGATAGTAGAGCAGCGATACAAACGCTGCAACAGCTCAATGACACTAGTTACATGGCAATGGAAGTTAAAAGGTTAATAAAAGATAACAGAACTAAAATAAAAATAAAATGGGTAAAGACCCATGTTGGAGTTCAGGGCAACGAAAGAGCCGACGCTCTGGCAAAAGANATCTATAAGGTAGTAGAAAATTACCTTCACGACAAAAAATTACTTATAGTACACCACAAAGTCTCTCAATAGAGGTTGCCCACAAGGGTCAAATTCAGGACCTTTGTTTTGGAACATAGTATATGATAACTTTTTGAAAGTAGAAAAAGGGGATAACGTTTAAGAATTTGCATACGCAGATGATATGTTACTTGTTTTTGGAGCAAACTCAAGACGACAAATAGAAGAAAAAGCTAACCATGTGCATGGACTAGTATCTGACAAGGGGAAGGAGCTAAAACTCTATTTTAACCCCAGGAAAACGAAAGCTATAGTGTTTACTAAGGGAGCAACACATGACTTATATAAGCGGGTACCAACAATCAAAATGGCTGGTGAAGGAATCAAGGTTGAAAAAAAAATCACCTACTTAGGTGTTGTCCTAGATCATCGCCTGACATTGGTTCCCTCACGCTACGGCAGTAAGAACGGCATGTACCAACATATTCAATGCACTGGCCAGAGTAGCACGCAGTAACTGGGGCCTCAACACAGAGGCTCTACATATTATATACAAAGGGGTATTTATCCCGAAGGTCACTTATGCTGCGAGTGCTTGGTTCACAGCAGCGGAGAAAAACACAATTAAACGAAAACTTCTAAGTGCACAATGTATAGCACTCTTAAGAGTAACAAAAGGATATCGCACGATTTCTACAGATGCGCTACTGGTCATAGCGGGAGAGCCGCCCGTTGATTTAATAATAAAAGAGAATGCAATGAAATACATGAGTAGAAAAGGGCTCTCCATTACTTTAGGGGAAGGCTTTATAATAGTACAGATTTTGAACTAAAACCAAGAGCAAAGGAAATGCCGAAGCCATACGAAAGAAAGGCAATAGAAATTGCTGATGATAATGAGAGAGCAAACACAGATATATTCACAGACGGATCGAAGATTGATGACAGAGTGGGTGCATCCTACGTAGTGATAAATAATGGAAAAGAAATCCACAAGGACTAATACAGACTGGCAGACCATTGCTCGGTCTATCAAGCGGAGTTATATGCCATTGTAATGGCTGTAAGGTGGAGCATCTCCGCTCAAGTAACAGGCTTAGTTATTGTTCACACGGATAGTAGAGCAGCGATACAAACGCTGCAACAGCTCAATGACACTAGTTACATGGCAATGGAAGTTAAAAGGTTAATAAAAGATAACAGAACTAAAATAAAAATAAAATGGGTAAAGACCCATGTTGGAGTTCAGGGCAACGAAAGAGCCGACGCTCTGGCAAAAGANTATCACCTAGTTTATTTCGCATTCGTATAAAATGTATAAAGGAATATAAGGTAACCAACAATAACGCTATAAAGGTAAACGGCAAAATCTTCAACAAAATACATTTTCATAGCTCTGGTTGCAAACAGAAAACAAAAATAGCTAGAAAAGGCTTTGAGAAATCTTAGTGATGCAATAAAGGCCAAACGCAACCAGAAAGGAATGATTTGTTTAAAAGCAAATCGAACGACATAATAACATAACACTAAAGAATAGACAATTAAACAGTTTTGACGAACATTTAACAGAGGGTTTAAAAGACGTGTGAAGTCGGGAATTACACAGTTAAAGCATGCGTTATACAAAGGCAAAGAAATGCAAATATGAGGAACATCAATGTGAATGTGAAAAAAAATCTCGTTAAACGTTTGCGAACTGACTTTGTTTGGTTCGGAAAATCTATGTTTTTGAACCATTTGAAGTAAAGATTATATAAAATTTTTCGTTAAAAGAGGGAAAAAAATAAGACAAAACTGAACGCTTTTACAATGTGCTGGAAGAGAATGTGGAAAGAATTTTGGACTAAATAATTGTCTATTGAGCAGGTTTAGGAGAGAGCAAGAGATACCAAATTCATTCTTAACACTACAGATAATCGAAAAACCAACACGATAGGACATCTATTAAGACATTCAGGTGGTTTAACTGAATGATAGAGAAAAAAAAACTTAGAAATCAACCTAAAATGAAATGTTGTGTTGTGGTAAGAGCCAGAACATATTACCCTATTCTGTTCAATAATTCTTGAAATAAGGAAAAAAAAAGAGGCAGAAGCACTGGATGATTTAAAACAGAATATTTAAAATAGAGAAATGAAGATAAACAATGCGAATTCAAATATAATATGAATTTCTATTTAATTAATATATAGTAGAGAGTCGATTTTCCGAATCAATTGGGGACTGGGGTTGTTCGTATAACTGATATTTCGGATAACAGATTTATGTATGAAAAACTAGTTTAACGTATCCGATGTCGAATTTTTTTTTTGTTGCGTGTCGCTTCGCGTTGAATTTTCGTCGATGTTAAGCCTAACAAAGACTATTGTATCGTAAAAAATTATTTTTTTATTTGGTACAAACAAAATAAATATATTGAAAAATATAAAAACAATTAAAAATTATACTTCAGATGTTAATTTAGTATCAAAAACGTAAAATATTTGAGTAGCCCAAGACATAGACAAAGATTGAAGCGCCACAGCCCTGGCGAAAATTTAAATTTGCCGACTGGAATTCTTTCGGATGATTGACGTTTCGGATGATTGACTTTCGGAAAATCGACGTTCTACTGTAATATAATGCTTTAGAATAAAATAGATTCAATTGGCTATTTATTTTGTAAAACTTATTTTTTTCGTTAGATTATTATCGTGTTTTTCAAGAAAAGTTTACGATTTATTCATATTTTCTATTACATCGTCAATTTACCGAATTTTTCGGTAATTTAAAAATATTTTCATACTTTCGATAGTTTAATAAAAATGTACTTACAACGATATCAATTGTCCGTTACTGTATTCAATGCGTTCATCTTTGATTTTGCAATATCCGACATTAAAGTCTATTGCTGTCCCGAATACTGAAAAATAAAATTAAAAACGTAATTAAACATTCCAACAATTACACACATTAATTTTTCAAAATAACGGTTTAATTTATCACTTATTTTATTTTCAATTTATCAGATAAAATTACGTTTAAATGCATTTTTTTTCCTCTCTTGGCTGTCTAAAGGATCAAGTTTGAAATATTGTAATATAAAATTTAACTAACAGAGGGACAAGTATTTTAAGTAAAGAAAGTCGATCTTCTAATATGATACCTCCCTGCAGTGGGAGGAATTTCAATTGGAACGTTTTTCCTTTATTCACATCTGAAACATTCTTTACGCGTTATTAACAAAATCTGCCATTTATGGGCACTCCATGCATTCCTTATAAAAATAGCATATAAACAGTCTCCTTTTTTATATTATACAACTAACTCTTGTTAATCCGAACTATTTATCATAAAGTGTTTACGGATTAATCAGTGGTATATAAGTTTTTACATTGAATTACATATTTTATTGACGTTATTTAAACATACTATATATAAGTACTGTATTAATGTTACAAAGTTATTACGCTTTGTTAGAGTGATTTTGTGTTGTTTCGGCTGACTAAAATAGACAGAATTGTTTAAGTTCGAACAGACAGTTGTTCAGATTTACAAGAGAATTTCATATAATTACAAAATATCAAACGACTTACTCCAATTCCCAACATGTTCTAAGTCTTTATTACTACATGTACTTGGAATGCACGCGTCCAAACGTATTTTCTTCATTTTGTCTACGTCTGTTTTGAATAAGTCTTCAAGCTTTATTGGTTTCTATAAAAATTCATGAATTCGTTGTAAAAATAGATTTAACTGACAAATTGCACTAAACTGTACTAATCCATCGCAAAATTTTTTTAAACTTTAATACTTACAATAAACTCTTTTGCTAGTTTAATCAATGAATTATTTTCCAACTTATGAATCGACTTTGCAATACGTTTCTCTAATTCTTGCATTCCAATTGTCAGGGCACAGTATTTGCCTCGAACCTGTTCCTTTCCTTTATCGGTAATCTCTTTTTTATTATGAGGAATTTCTATGTCCAAACACTGGTCATAATCTCCTGATATCCATAGTGCTACTCCTAACATTCCTGCCGGTAATTTTCCAAAAGAATCAATCACTGGAAATAGTAAATACATACAATTAATTAAAGTTATCTTTATGTATCACATGTTTGAAAAAAACAAATCGAAACAAAAAGAATTATATTTCTCCGTGGAGACTCGCAGTAGAGAGAACCTTCGATATACGCGGTTAATCCCTACCACAAAAATAGCGCATACGCGAAATCGCAAATGTGGATGCTAAAAATAAACCGGAAATAAATGAATTTTTAAACGTGTCTGAAACTGTAACATATACATTTAAATTACGTTAAAGATTGATAAATAGCGTTTCCACTAACAACTGCAAGAAACTGCATAACTTTTCCCGTTGTTATAAGATTTTGTTCTAAAAGCGTTTTATATTGTTAATTGTGAGAACCGATGGGGCAAACTCTGTACCCCTCTTACCGGCTTGTCTGTCAGAAGATGGCTTATGTGGTAAACAAGTTGGAAGGTCAGCGAGGTCGTGACAAGGTGCGGCCGGACTCAAGAATAACCCATAATTGAACATAAGAATATCATATTTAATAAATTATAAAATTATACAACAGCGAATACAAAAGCGAATAAATACAAAAGATAGAAATAGTAAAAAAATTTTTAAGTAGCGACAATGGTCACTTCGTTCTTGTCGATATAGACTGTCTAAGTTCTGGACCTTTCTCGGTCCCAAAATCCTTTAAGTTAAACTATCCTTATTTAATCTAGCTTATAATCGAAGGAGACCTGAGAGAGAGTATTTACAAATAGTTAAAAATAATACCTCTTGATTCCCGATCTCGTTGTATAGGACGTTGATAAGACAGTGGAGTTGACCAGTAGTCTTCCTTTCATTCGGGTCAGGATCATTTTGTGAGAGAAGGACGACGATTATGGCAGGAAGGTAAGGGTGGCGACAGACGGAATGGCGGTATGGGTCTGATGTTTCCTGATAATGTCCGCAGTTGATATCCGCCTCGAGGACTGTGTCCAAACCTTTTATACACATTTTCGGGAGCTGACTAATAGTATGAATGATGACACCTGTTCTAAGTTCGATTTGTATCCGGGTTTTGTTTATGTTAATTGTCAGATATCTAACATTTCTTTAAATTTATTACCTGTTTCTATCTGCTATGATTACTCATTCTATCTCATAAATTTGATAACAGCTATTACACCAACTGAATTAATTGCTGCAGGTGAGTGAGGTCAGAGTTTGTCTTACAACCTCGTAACAATTGTTACCTTATATGGTCATCTTGATCGGTTTTATCATTCACAAAATTGAGCGAAATAGAAAATGTGTGGATGGGTTCGGTTCGGAATCCTTTCGTTTCTTTGATCTTTTGATTTTTCCCCACTACGTCGTAACAAGAATTCTTAATTATGATTAAATTATTTTTATTTCTAATTATTTATTTTTTTCTCTCCCCTTCAGGTTCTCACATTAATCATTGTAAAATAGCAAAACGCTTGAATTTGAGGGTAGTGATAAGTTTCATAAAACATTTTAAATGTCAATAAAGAGTTAAATTATTAAGTTCGATTTCATCTCAATGTATGAGACGTGGCCTCTGTCTGTCAGTAACAACCATTATCAATCACCAATTTTTGTATTATTAATCTTATTTAATCTTTAATTTAGTATCATTATTTCGTTACTTATCCTTTGCCGCATTCTAAGATATTAAATGAAATATGCGTCTATACACAAACACACAGTCATACATGTATATTTTTGGGTTCAGCGGGTCTCAAGACGTAAAGATTTGAAAAAACACGGAAGATCAAATTTGACAGGATTCCAATACAAAAGGAAAAGGGTTAATTATGAAAGGGAACACCGCGTCAGGTGGTCTAATTTCTAAGACGTCATATACTAGACAACAATGGGGTAAAATGAGCTGAAGTTCAAAGTCCCATCTACACCTTTCATCCAAAGTTAACAGATAGTGTCAAGTAAATTTCCCGATGCGAACATTCTCGGGACCCGAACAGGACTCGTCTTTCGCTTAGGGACAAACGTGAAGAAAATCAGGATGGACAAAAAGGGACGAACGAAGATTGATGTAATTTCCGATCTTCAAGGACACGAGGAACTCGGCAAGACAGATTCAGCGAGTCAACACAAAGGAGAAAAAATCGAAAGCGCTGTGTCAACACACTGAACACGAATCTTTATTAGTGTAAGCTTAGTGTTTATTTTTATGCTAAAATAAACGGATTTTTGTAAGATAATTGTCATCTCTGTCCCCTCCTGCACACCCACACGCGAACCACCGTAGATTATCCTGACGAAAGATTAACGATTCCCTAAGGGCTGTTTCACACTATGACCGACTGGTCCAAACCTACCTATTTTATAATCGGACCGACTAGTAGTAAAAGCATTCAAACTAAGTACGATTATATGTCGGTGGCCGACTCATAGGGACCAATCAGAACGCGTGTTATAGATTCATTTTATACATTTTGAACGTCATTTCTCATGTTTTTTTCAGTCTAACAAGTGAATTTCTTTGTGATATCATTTGGAACTTTCGAAAATATTATGAAAGTACTAAAATTAATTGTACATTATTTAATGATAAAGTGTTGACACTGAGTACTGATCTNATCCTGCTGTATCGATTAGGTTGAGTTTGGTCAACCTAACGATACAGCGATAGGCTCATCTCGTCGAGAATTCTTGGATACCTTCAGCCATAACTTCTTCCACCCTTCATTTGTGCATTTATCAGTTAATTCTTGCCAAGCAAAGTCGATATTTCCTATGGCATCCATGATGATAAATTTTTTCCAAAATTTCACCAAACATACATAGATTTAAAGAAAGTACACCTTTTTGCCATGTTTTTCTGATTGGTTTTGTGTTCGCAAATAATTGTATTATATACAAATCAACAAAATGCTGCGATAATTTAAATCGGCATAAATTTTGAGCTTTTTTTAGGCTTTGAGAAGACTGTCTTATATCGAATCAGCATTAAGCAGGATCTTACTGTATTTAGTACATTTTATTTTGTTATATATTTGTTAATTTTATCTATTATTTTCGTTTTAAATTTGAATGTATAATGTTTGAACATTCCATCGTTACAGTTTTAAAATACATTGAAATTCATTTACACCTGAAGATGGCCTATTCTATGAGGCTGAAAATGTTAGTATTTTATTAAATAAACATTTCTTAATGATGGAAGGTGTTTATAATGTTTTATTATGTTTTTTAAAAATGCAGAGTTTGATATTTAGTTATTCTTAATAATTTATTTATTAAAATGGATGATTTTAACATTAAATAATGTTATTAAGTTCATTATTATTATTATGTCACATTAAATGTCAAAATAATATGCATGTAATGTAAAATGTTAATGATTCAATATTTTTTTAAATAAATAAATATTAATTATTTATTCATATTTGTTCTATGTTTACTTTCATTTTTGATAAATTACGTCTCTACAATATTTAATTAGTTGTTAATGAGTCATATGTATATCTAAGAATCGGTTTCCTGATAGTTATTTTACATATTGAGATTGCATTTGAAATAAATTTAAATTATCTTCGAAGTATTATTAAGAGTTTAATTTAGATAATAATATATTGATAACAGCTAAAATGTGGACAGTGATTGATGTAGATAAAAGAAAATTAATAATAATAAAAAGGAAGGAAAAGCACTTATACTGTTGCAGGATCATTAAGGAACATAGTTTTATTTTGCTTTTTATTTATAAACATCCATCTGAATAATTAATTTGCTGTAAGTAAGAAATTAAAAATCTTAATACCAGCTTAGAAGTTTTTGTATGCATTAGTGTTGGACCAAATAAAACAAAATTACGACTTTCTTAAGCCTGTAAGTGATGCGAAATCATAAAATATTAACACAGAAACGTTTTCGGAACACCTTCCGTGTTCTTCCTCGGGTTTTCAAACTCCAAACAGTTTGAAAATTTGAGAAAGAACACGGAAGGTGTTCTGAAAACGTTTGTGCGTTAATATTTTACGATTTCGCATTAGTTACAGGCTTAAGAAAGTCGTAATTTTGTTTATACAATTCGGTGTGCTTGTAGGAGTTATTTATTGGACCAAATATTTAGCATTACTTGGTATTTGAGTATATTCAGCAACAAAGTAAAAATTTGATATTTGNACCAGGGAGATTAGAATTCATTTTTAAAACATGAAATTTCACTATTGAACTTCAAACAGATAAATTGTAAAGATAGTTTGTAAGAGATGTGACTAGATTGCATATAGTGCTTCTCTTTGTGAACATGAGAAAATAATCACGTTTTCACTCATACAAATTGAGTTAACTAAACTAAATATTGGCACTAACTATAAGTGATATTGAGCAGTTCAGGATGAAATTATTAGAGAAATTTGCTGTTCTTAAAACTTTCACTAGCTTTAATCTCAGTGATAAGTGGGTTTTATAGCTCGTTTGGGTTATATAGCTCATTAATTGGGCTGTATAGCTGGATTAATTATGCCAATTGTTTGGTTTGGTATCAATGCATTGGGCTTTAAGGTGTTTATTATATACATTGAAATAGGTAGAATAAGATGGCTTTTTTTAATTAAATAGTTTGATAAATTAATTTAATTAATTTGTTTAGAGGTAGGTAGTTATGCCACTATCTTCTTTAGATTTTTAATTTAGAATGTTTTGGAAGAAAATTGGGTAAACAGGGCAATACATTTGCATGGGGCTCTTGCTTACTATGTAGTTACACTGCCCAGTTATCCATTCTCTCCAGTTACCAGTAAACTTGCTGTTTTATGCTAGTAATATCAGTGGTTTTATTTAGTCCTAAGTCAGCTTTGTTTTAATTTATAATTAAAAAGTATTTAAAAAAATAGTTGCTAATCTATCTATACTGCCAAACTATTTCAGTCATTACAGTTATAAGTGATTAATGACCAATTAGTTGCCAAGAATCCTTAATTACATAATTAAGATACATTACTATAAATTGCATAATGCCTGATTCATTCTAATTAAAAACTGTTTAGCTTTTATCAGGAAACAAGCTTTATTATGAACAAGCTGTATGTGCCTGGTGTTGCTTGGGCTTTTTAGTGAATGGGAGATTGGTGAGGTTGGGTTAGGAAAGGGTGATGAAAACGAGTTAGAAACTAAAAAGCACATTTATTGACCTGAATATTTACAATGATGAAACTGCAAAACACAAAATTTGCTTGGGTTAAAGTTAAAAAGGGCATCATGGGCTTTAGCAGTTTTTGGGGGTGGGTTGGGCCCCATGGTATTTTTTATAAGGTTTTAAAGAATATTCATGCCAAATTTAGTGGGAATATGTCAAATTGTACAAAACCTTCTTTACGTAACAAATATACATAATAAGTTAGTTAAGAGAGGGTGGCCTTTAGAGATGGTTAAGGTGGGGATTCAACAATATTGTTTCTAGACTGTCAAAGAATATTCATGCCAAATTTGGTGATGATATGTTGACTGGTATAGAACCCATTACCTGGCTCCCGACCTGCGTAATTAGGGAGGAGACCATCTTTGTTCGTCCCTTCGCCGATTGGATTTATCATCTCTCTTCATCCTGACACGCAAAAACACTTCTGGCCCGCTTAAGGACAGAGATAGTCCAGCTGAATCACTTCTTCTACACCCGGCGCCTGAGAGATTCTCCAGCTTGCCCCCACTGCAGGGCACCAGAGACAACATTTCCCTACTGGCTAAACTGCCCGCAGTACAACGAGGCTCACCAAAGACCTGGGTACAGCGTTGACTCTTAACCTTGCAATCGTTTGTTCACTCACACCGATCTTCTGGCTTCAAACTGATACCTCCACGTCAACACATTGCAGCATTGGAACATTATATCAATTACACCGGCTGCTTCATTTAAACACCAGGGCCCTTAGTCTCGAGTTTTTCGTGTTACAACTCCCAACGTGTTGAAGGTGTCACGTGGTACCATCTTGCTCTTGAAGTGGTTTTATAGTTTGGGTAGTTGTACAGTATATTATTATGTTATTATAACAATGTTCATTTATTAGCATGTCCATTTTAAATTGGATGAAATCTTTGTCCGTTTGTAATTTCTCTACTTAATGCTTCAAACCATCAATCTCCCCTTTCATTTTTTTCTGATTTTTCTTTGTTTCTCGAATATTTTTGTGGATAATATCTAGTTCTTCTTTAATCACAACCGTTTGATTAAAAAGTTTATTGTTAGTAGGGTTGATTAATTCCGATATTTTATTCCAAAGCACTGAAGTATAAGAGTCTAGGAATTTATCCGTTACATTAATCGAGGTTTGATCAGAAATAGTTGGCTCACCTGATTTGTCATTTTCATTAATCTGTGATTAATTTGGATTCTAATTCTTATCGCTAATGGATTCTTCATGAAGACTTTTTTGGAAGTGAAGTTAAAGTCTATTAACGACCTGGAATTTGAAGAAAATGGCTGATCTTTCTTAGTATCCAATTTAGTACAATTCAATGGAGGTCTACCCTTCTTGACTGGAGAACGTTGCATAATTATTCTTGTTATTACTGTTATAAATAGTATTAATTAATAACAAAATTAGGCTTCTTGTAGTAGCAAATAATCAAAAAAACACTTAACTCTTATTCTAGTATGAGTGGCCAGGTACAAAGAAAAACACGCCAACAGCCACGACGGATGANATCTGATCTCCTGTATACGGAAATCCTCGTATATAACGTAATTAATGCTACCATTTTTCAACTTACCCTTCACCAGTGTAATCACAGAAAATTAAAATTGAATGACTCTGCTTTATTTTCTGTCATAATAAAATAATGTATCGATATGAGTCCCTGCAGGATTTTTTGTAAACCTCCACGATTTCGGACTTCCCGAGCCCGGTTTTTTAAAAAACCTGACTTTGCGTTATACGAGGGTTACCTAGCTTATGTTGTAATAATTTATAACATTGAAGATTACTTACTTCGAAGAGGCCATTCTTTCAGTTTTATCAAGTCTTTCAGGAAGAGAACGGAAGACTTCATGCAAGGTGAAGATACGTTCACTTCTTCGGAAATTTTCATCAGATAAGAAAGACTTTGCTTTAAGACAGACTTCAAAGCGGTTTTGATTCTCATCTCCGCATTTTCTAACATCATCGACGTTCGTCGGAAATCATTGCCGTCCTCCGGTTCTGTATTGTTGCATTTCGCGTAACACAAGAATATCGTTAAGAGTAAGAAGAAATGAAGTAATTTTTTGTACTTCATCTTCGAAGCTTTCTCTGTCTCGATGAACAACTTCTAAATCGCTTTGCATTTACTTTCGTGACAAAATTTATAGAAACGTTTTTCCCGGTTATAAAAAAACTGGCTTATCAATGACAACTACTTTCGTGGAACTTATTTAAAAATTATTTGTTTTCTACAATATAAATTACCAAATAATTTTTGGGTGTTGTAATTATTCCCGATGTTGAAGTGACTCGATTGTCTTTAAATTTTAAAAGAAAAATTATAATCATCGTTTTTATAATTACTAAAATATAATTGTTTATTTTACTATTCAAGGGCAAAGTGTTTGCCTGGCAAATTTAATGTTTGGAATTGCGTGACAATTGTAATTAAAGTAATTCCTATTCTGTATTATTCCAAAAGTTATTTGCAAAAAATAAATTATCGCAAAATGAAATAATTTTCTTTAGAAAATGCCCTTTTAGGCAAATATTTTACGCTAAATGCGTATTGAAATTAATATACACTATCTCTTTTCCTCTTAGAGATTGTTTGTGCAGATAGTAAAAACTTTGAATTAATTTAAATAAGCAGATTTAGGGTATGGCGAGAGTCAAACTATCAGCATAATGCCTGGTGCGTAAATTCAAATTTAACTTCCACAATTTATCAAAAGAAAAAATGTCGAGCATCGTCCTTTTCCCACTTATTTAAAGACTTCATTACCGATCACATATGCATTTGTTTTGATAAATGAGTATAAATCGTGTGACCGGAGGGAACAGATGTATACTTATTCATCAACACAAATGCTTATTTGATCGACGACCGATCGGATTCGGATGGAGACGAGTGAGCCAGCGTTGGAAGCAAGACACTCATATACCACGTTAATCAACCAAATACAAGTTTATTTTTCGTACTAGATTTACAGCCTAACAGTAACAAGACAATTAGACATTGGATTTGAGAGTGTTTTGGAGGCGTTCGCGAAAGAGAGAGTTTACATGAAATTGCGCGTTGTTATAAACACTATAAACATATCGAATCAACAGAGAGCCGCTTGTATACGAGATGATCGTTCGACCGTAATTACAGTATTTTATACGCGAGAATTCAGAGTACATTGGGAAAAGTTCGAAAAAAAGTGTATCTGGAACAGGAGTAGAAAATTTCCTTGAATGGAGATCGTGAGGGTGGCGAACCGGATGAGATAATAATTACTAGGGTTTCTTTCCCGGGATCCCGGGATTCTCGCCGTTTATTCCCTACGAGAAAAATCCCGGGTAATTTTATTTTCCCGGGAAATCTCGCATTTCACTAATAATTTATCATGTCAGGTTTTCTTTCTATTATTTATTATACGAAAAGTTGCATCTTGAA